GTTTTATAGCAAGGAGGGGAGTGATTGACTTTTCAGTCTAGGAGCGGAGGTCCCTAGGACCACCAAAGGAGAAGAACAGAGAGCAGGACCCTACCCAGAGAAGCAGTGATGCCTGAGATGGAGCCAGAGATGATGATGTGGAGCTATGGAGCAGCTGGAGACTCTAGATCCAGAGAGCGAGAGCGACTGTGTGCTGAAGACCTGGGGGGCACGGGGGAAGGATGCATGGAGGGGATTGTAACCATGGCAATGAGACAATATACGATAGAATGAATGTAAAACTAATGTTCTCCCATGTATACTATCACATAATTCACAATAAATCATTTAAGAAAAAAAAACAAAAAAAAAAACACTTTCATGATAAGCAGATGTTACGTACTTACTTTGCCTCTCCAGAAAGTCAACAGCAAAATGCCTTGAGCATCCCCTAAGCATCACCTTTGCTTGTGGCTGATCTGCTTTTGTCTTCACTGGACCACTTCTATCTCTTGCTAACCATTGCTTTGCTTTTTCTTTGTCATCAGGATCATACCGATAAAGCCATGTTTCATCTCCTGTCCAATCCTTCCAAGAAATGCTTCAGGATCTTCATCCCACTTGCTTAAAATCTCCATTGAAAGCTCTGCTCTTGTCTGTAGTTAATCTGATTACAAAAGTTTGGCATCTGTTGAGCAAAAACGTGCTCAACTTCAATTTTTCAGTCAGAATTGTGTAAACTGAACCAGTTGAGAGCCTATGGTGTTGACTATTGCTTCTGCTGTTAATTGTTGATCCTCTTCAATTAGGGCATGATCAAGATTAATTTTTCCTTGAAAATTGATATGGATGGTCTACCATTATGGACTTTATTTTCAACACTGTCTCATTCCTTCTTAAGATGAATTATACATTTGTAATCTACTGTTTTCTTTGGGGGCATTGTCCTTATAAAATTTTGTAACGTATCAGTGATTTCACCATTCTCCCATGCAAGCTTCATCATAAATTTGATGTTTGTTCTTGCTTCAATTTTATCAGTATTCATGTACTGATAGTATTCATGTAGGAACTCTTTTCAAACTGATGTCTTATCCTTCATAATACCTCAAAGTAGATCCTGTTGTAACAAGTTAGTATGAGTTTATTTCAGTGCAAAAGAATTTAAAATCCATGCATAGTTTTTTCATAATATACATCTTCCATGAAATTTTTGAAGTTCATATAGGAGATATCACAAGTTAAGGAAATTTAGGCCCAGAGAAGCTCAGTCTTGACCTAGGACTTACAGATGATTAGTTGTAAAACCATATTGGGAATTCAGGCCTCCTGATTTCCCATGAGGTGCCCATTTCACTATCCCATGCTAAAAGTTTCTCTGAAAGCCAGGTCTGCATGAATTTTCATGCATTAACTCTCATGTCAGTTTCTGTTACCTCAGAGAGTCTTCACCTATAATGGGAGTGACAGGAAAGGGTTTTGTCTGTTGCGAAAGTGAGCTTTCCTCAGCAAAAGGAACAGAATGGGCCTCTGCTTAGTTTAATTTACTGACTCAGGAAATCACAGTCTCTCTGTAGTTCTGAGACACCTCCCCCCCCCCCCCCCCACACACACACACTGTCTGAGCCTTTCTCTAATAGCATGTGTACTTATAGATACTTGTGTTGCAGGCTGATGAAGGCCAAAGAGCAAACCAACTCATTTCCTTAGACTGATACTCCCTGATGGAAGTTAACCTATAAACCATATATATATATATATATAGTTGTTATTAAGTGCCATTGAGTCATTTCCAATTCATAGTGACCCTGTATAGGGTTTCTGAGGAGCAGCTGGTGAGCTTTAATCACTGACCTTGAGGTTCAAACTGACTTTGCAGTCCAGCACATTAACCCACAGCACCACACCAGGACTCCATGTGTGTATATATACTCTCTCTAGTGATTTTATATTCAGATAACCCTAGTGGTAGTACTTCCACATCCAGCCAGTAGGGTTAGTTCATAAGCCTGGCCTGTGCCTGGGCACTAGCCTCTGAGTTGCTAGCATGGTAATGAATGCTCTATACCGGCCCTAGAAGACAGTAGTCATTTGGTTTCTAAGTTCA